TCCCACAGAGGCCTCCAACACACCCCAAAACCATGAGAGGCTCCCAAAAGCGCTCCGACGAGGCCCCCAAAACAGCCCAAGAGAGCTTCGAGAGCCGTCCCGCCGAGAGAGCCTGAAGAGGGTGAAATCGGCGCTTTCCAGTGGTTATTGTCTACATTTTTCGCCTTCTCACGTCTCCCCGCTTGCAACGCTCCAAAACCGAGAAGCTTGGGGAAAAAAGCGCCAGAGCTTCCCTTTTTTTTCAAATTGGGACTCCTACTCCCTATCCTCTTCCTCGAGCCCCATCAAGACTTCGGAGTCACATGTAAAGATGTTTCGGGAATATTGTTGAACTCTCCGACGGCACTTTCGTGGATCGTCTTCACGTCATTTTGGCTGCCCATGAAACCACCGTCGAAATCGAGATCTCATGATCCCATGAGTTGAAATGAATCCCTTTGAGTTCGAATTCACTACCTGCTTATGTTTGCACGAAGACCCGAGAGGCAACCCAACCGACCGTGGCCTGTATCCAGAAAAAGCCCACAGCCCAGGCACGGCAACTTGAAAAAATGGGAATCCCACAATTCTTTTTTTTAGTTCGCCCCCCTGTCTACTCTTGCACCACAGACCACAATTTTAGGCCCACCTCAGCTCCCAGAAAAGAAACCAGAAAGCCTTTGACGGCCAAAACTCTTTGAACGCCTAACAGGAATTAATGATTTCCGCGTTTCCGCAGTTCCCCTCCTATACAGTTCCGAGGTTTGCGCAGGGCCTCCAAGAGAACCCCTGCATGCAGGAAGCGACAACAATGATATTCCATGGTTTTGCCCATCAAGTCTAGCTATAACTTTGAGCGCGCGCGAAGCGCGCGCGATGGTTCCAGTATATACATATATATATATGTGTATATATATGTGTATATGAACATATATATGTATATATATATATACATACATACATATATGTATTTATAAAAACAGAAACCCTGCCTCCGGGGGTCAATGGGGGAGGTGGGGGCCGCGGATATTTTGCCATGCCCGCGGGTAGTCTCGGCCAATCGCGGTCGGCCTTCCAGATCTGGCTTTCTGGCATTTTACGACGGCGTCCGTCGGTGTCGTCGGTCGTCGTCGTCGGTCTGTCGGTCGGTCGGTCCGTCCGTCGCCGTCTTTCGTCGCTGTTGGTCGGTCGGTCTGCCGTCGTCGTCCGTCGGTCGTCGCCGTCGGTCGTCGTCCTCGTCGTTCGGTTGTTCTTGGTCGGTCGGTAGGTCGGTCGGTCAGTGGTCGTTGCTGTCGTCGTTGTCTGCTGTCGGTCGTCGCCGTCGGTCGACCTTGTCGTCGTCGTCGATCTCTCGGTCAGCCAGTCGGTCGGTCCTCGTCGTCGTCGAACGCTCGGTCGGTCGGTCGGTAGTCGTCGTCGTCGATGTTCGTGGTCGTCGTCGTCGGTCGCTCGGCCGCGGGGTCGATCGGTCATTTGTTCGTTCGGTCGGTCGTCGTCGCCGTCGTTGTCATTCGTCGTTCGTCGCCGTCGGTCGTTGTCCAGTCGTTCGGCCTGTCGGTCGGCCAGTCGGTTGGCCAGTCGGGTGGATTCCGCGGCTGTCGCATGAGTAGGTAGGAAGAGCGAACCATGCCTCCGCCATGGCCTACAACAAGTCTAGCTACTAGACGGACAAAACTCGTCAAATTCTCAGTCCTTGATTTGTCACCTGGCTGTTAGGTCTTGGGTATTTCCTACCGCTGGCGACCCTGAGGCCCTAGGGTAACCGTCCCTCCTCGGTGGCGCCCCGGCTGGGTCCTTGAAGTCGGCGAGGGCGCGGTCGGTGATTGCCGCTTGCGGCGGCCGCTGGCCGCACGCGGCGGCGGCGGCGGCGCAGCGGCGCGGTTTGCGTCTCCTCGGGCCGGCGAGGACGCGGTCGGTGGCTGCCGCGCGCGGCACTTGCGGCGCGGCCGCAGCGCGGCGGCGGCGGCGCAACGGCACAGCGGCGCGGCTGGCGCTTGCGGAGCGGCAGCAGCGCCTCCCCCGATGTCTTTGGCACGGGCTTTGCGGCGGAGCGGTGGTGACCACACCGCAGTGTGAGTCAGTGATGATTCGGGGTCGCCGCGCGGTTTTGAATCTCGGGCCGTTCTGCGATGAAGTCTCAGGCGACTGGGGCCTCCAAGGTCCCCAGACGGCGCGGTGACTGACCGCGCGGTGAGGCCATTGGGGAGTTCGAGTTCATTACGCGGTCCGTTACTACACGGTTTGGGGGCCCCGACAGTTGGCGGGAGTTGGGATTGGCAGCGCAGCTCGTCGCTCGCGGGGGGGCGGGGGAGAGCACATGAGGGGGAGGGCCCTGAGGGGGGTCGAGGGCGAGGGCAAGGACGGGGACGAGGAGGGACCAGGGAGGAGGGGAGGAGGAGGCGGAGGAGGAGGAGGAGGAGGAGGGGGGAGGAAAAGGCAGGGGGAAAAGGGGAGGAAGAGCAGGGCGAGGAGGTCGGGGACAAGCACGACGACGAGGGAGAAGGAGGACGGGTAGGATTGTGGGAGTATGGGGGGACGGGCAGAAGCGATGCGGGAGGAGGGAAGGCAGAGGACGTGGAGGGAGGGGAGTTGTTGTTGTTGTTGCTGGTGATGGTGGTGGTGATGATGTTGATGATGACAATGATGATGACTATGTTGTTGTTGATGATGATGATGGTGTTGATGCTGGTGATGATGATGCTAATGATGATCATGATGATGACCATGCTGATGATGATACTGACGATGGGGCTGATGATGGTGACGATGGTGATACTGGTGATGTTGATGATGCTTGTGATGATGATTGTGATGGTGACGGTGGTGAGGATGGTGGTGGAGGTGATACTGCTGATGATGATGATGAACCTGATGAGGTCATCATGATCAACATGATGGTGTTGTTGGTGATGAGCTGGAGGATGCTGCTGAGGCTTGAGCTGATGGTGATGATGCTTAAGGTGATGGAAATGCGGATGATGATGCTGATGATGGTAAGTGTGATGCTGATGCGGTTGATGCTGATTAAATGCCGATAGTGATGTTGACGAATCTGCCGATGGCGATGTTGTTGATGTTGTTGACGCTATTGCTGCTGATGATGTGTAATATGATCGGGATGTGTATGGACATGATCATGATGCTAATGATCATGATGCTGCTTGTGGTGATGCAGATGTTGTTGATTTTGATATTGTTGATGCTGCTGACGATGATGACGATATGTCAGTGGTGCAGATGCCGATGGTGAGGATGCGGGTTGTGGTGATGCTGATAAGGTTGAGCATTGATGATGCTGGTCATGATGAAGATGCTGATGATGATGATGCCGATGATACACTTACTAATGATACTGATGAGCACGATGATGCCGCTGATGACGATGGCACTGATGCTGATGCTGATGCTGGTGTTAATGCTGATGAGTATGATAATAATGGTGTTGATGTAATGATGAGTTGTTATTAAGAGTAGCGGTGGCGACTATGATGACGGTGATGGTGATGAAGGTGGTGAGTGATGGAGTGTTGATGCTGATCAGGAGGAGGATGAGGATAAGGATGATGAGAAGCAGGACGAGGAACGGGAAGAGGTGGGAGACGGGAAGAGGGGCAAGGGGAGGCGGAGGGATGCGGTGCACTTTTGTCGGCGACGACGCTGATGCGCCGATGGCATTGCTGCTCCGCAGAGCTTGCGATAGTGCTGATCAGAGGCTTCTTCCCGAGGCATCGGGGGAATGACGCCCTTCTGGCCGCGCAGTATAGGCGGCGCCTGCCGTGTCCAGTGCCACAGCGACTCAGGTCCTGCTTCCCACGGCCCAGGATTAGCTGGACGAGCTGGATCAGGACGCTACCCCTTCGGTGCTCGCGAGTCCTCAGTTGAGACACCGCAGGGCGGCGAACACACCCCCGCTCCCAGCAGGGCGGGGCCCCGAAAGAGGGGCCCCGGTCCCCCTTCTTCTCCTCCCCGGGTGGCCGGAGTCGATATGTGAGTGGCGGGAGAAAATTGGGCTCGACTGGGCGGACACTCGCGCACAAGCTGCCCGCGCAAGGCTGCGCCCTCGCGCCCTCGTCTCCATCGGCGCGCCGCCCTGGCGGTCCACGTCAGCCACCGTGTAAGTCTAGAGTCTAGGCGATACGGCTCGATGCGGAGCCCGATTTGCTTCACGTCGACGTAGCCGGTGCATCGGCGATGCGGCGCGATTTGCCGACCGCCTCTACTCCGACCCATCTAGGTGGCCTCTAATAAGGTCGCTATGCTTAGGATGTTTCAACCTACTTCAGACTCGATCACCAGAAATAATTCCGAGCACCAGGAAAGTACCGAGTCTTGATGGTTTTCACGTGTCGGGCCCTGGGAGGCGATACTCGTTCGACATTGTTTCGACACTTTTCTGGGTGCTCGAAATTCTTTCTGGGATGTGGCCCTGAAGTACGATGGGAGCAACGTAGCGCTATGCCATCTTGCGTAATACCCGTTTCTGTGCGTCGCTCATGTGTCGCGGCGTTTGTCCATGCGTTGCGTGCTGGCCCGCCCCGCGCTCTCCGTGCTCGCTCACTGCCGGGAGGTGGGAATGGGGAGGTGGCAGTGGCAGGGGAGATGCCGTAGACGCGCTAACGGTGTGTTAGCTAACGGCGAAGTAGGGGACCAAATTGTAGGCAAGCGTGGTTCGTGGCCAAGCCAAGTGTACGGACGCGTGGTTCGTGTTTTCTTACATCTCGCTGTGTCGCTTTCGTTCGATGTATTCGCATTTGAAATGTAGGAAACGGTGCTTCGTGATTTCCTACATTTTGTTTTGCGTGAGCTCGGTGCCACAACAATATTTCCAACCGCATTGTTAACCAAGCACGCCGTCAGCGCGGCCTTAGAGATGGGAGGAGGCAGGAGGGAGGGCGAAAGAGGACCGAAAGCACGTTGTTGTTGCCGATGGTTGTGACGACGACGATGCCGGCGACGACGAAAGTGACTGTTGGTGAGTACGGTAGTGCGGAGGAAGAGGAAGTTGGTGTCCGTTTCGGCAGGTGGATTTTGGCCAACGAGAGGTTCTCGTGGTTGACTTGCGTCGGCTTGAAGGCGCTTCCATGGTTGCAGTATGACCCCCTCGTTCTTCTCCCCAGCTTGTCCACCCAGTTTCGCCTCATTCCCGACAATTCCATTATTGATCATTCGTATCCTTTTTCGCTTCATTCGTATTCCCACATCCCCCAGGTACCCCCACCGCTCGCCATGGTAGATTCGATTGAAGCTTCGATTCGCCAGCAGCTACAAGGATGGATGCCATGTTGTTTCAACATATGCCTCGCTTTTCGGATTGCGCACGTTCGCGTAAACAGGTCCCAGCAGGTAGACATATAAAGGTTCAGTGGTTGTCATGTATTGCTATGGCGCCGCGCATGTTCGTCTTAAATGCTCCGAACAGCTACACACGGATGGAGGACGGCTCGTCTTTAAACTTCTGCTCTCGGTGGTCACCCACTTGAGATCTGGACTCGGACTGTATACACCCGGTTTAGCTACATGGATGGTGGGCGCCCTTGAATTTGGAATGGGGTTGTTGGCTTGACAGATCCCGATCTTTGGTGACCAGCTGGTTTGAGGTGTGCGCCACTTGTGCGGATGTAGGGTGACTCGTTCCCCGTTGACATTATGTTAATCTGCATGGCTCTGCCTCATCAGATTCCTCATGTCTGAGCGGGGTACGAGGCTGCTCCCCTCCGAAAGGGGACCATCACTTGAATGTCAGGCCGAAGGGATATTCGTACGTTCGTTTGTTCAGGGGGTGTTTCAAGATGTGGAAGGGAATGGATGATAATGGATGTTCCGTAGTGTATGATGAGGGGGCCTCGGACGGGAGGTTCTACTTCATAATCGGTTCCCCGATTTGGGTTCAATGTGTTCCTCCTTTTTTTGCCCGAGTCACCCCACCTCCGTGTTCCCTTCCCCGCTCCCCCATCTCCTTCTTCACAATGACTTGTCACGTCTTCCTCGTAGGTATGACTCTGCTCTGTCCCTGTTACGTGTTCCTAGTTTCACCACCTCTTCATGGTTTTCTTGCTTTTATGTTTCCTGGCCACCCTCCTCAATCCCCTTCTTCATCAACACTCTCTACTCCACAATGTGTGTTCCCATCCTCATCCTCCTCGTCCTCCTTCCCCATTAATTCTCATACTGATGCTCATCCCCAGGCTGCCCTTCTCCCACTTCGCCTTCTCCCTGATCCCCTTCGGCGCAAGGAATGGAGTCGGGGGGAGGCGGGGCGGGGTACGGGCTGGGGGGGAGTGGAGGGAGGGTGAGCAGGGGAGGGGAAGGCGGCGTGGCGGGGGGCAGGGCTAGGGATGCGGTTGGTGGGAGGGGGAGGGGAGGTTTCGACGCGCAGTGTGTGTGTGTGTGTGTGTGTGTGTGTGTGTTTGTGTGTGTGCGTGTGTTTGTGCGTGTGCATGTGCGTGTGCGTTTGTGAGTGTGTGTGTTTGTGTGTGTGCGTGTGCGTGTGCGTGTGCGTTTGTGCGTGTGTGTTTGTGTGTGTGCGCGTGTGTTTGTGTGTTTGCGTGTGTGTGTGTGTCTCTGTGTCTGTGTGCGTGCGTGCGTGTGCGCGCGCGTTAGTGTGCGTGTGCGTGTGCGTGTGCGTTTGCTTGTGTTTGTGCTTGTGCTTGTGTGTGTGTGCGTGTGCGTTTGCGTGTGCGTGTGCGTGCGCGTGCGCGTGCGCGTGCGCGTGCGCGTGCGCGTGCGCTTGCGCGCGCGCGTGTGTGCGTGTGTGTGTGTGTGCGTGTGTGCGTGTGTGCGTGTGTGCGTGTGTGCGTGTGTGTGTGTGTGTGTGTGTGTGCGTGTGTGCGTGTGTGTGCGTGTGTGAGTGAGTGTGTGTGTGTGTGTGCGCGCGTGCGTGCGTGCGTGCGTGCGTTTGTGCGTGCGTTTGTGCGTGTGTCTGTCTGTCTGTCTGTCTGTCTGTCTGTCTGTCTGTCTGTCTGTCTGTCTGTCTGTCTGTCTGTCTGTCTGTGTTTCGTAGGGCGGGGGGGATGAGAGGAAAGGGCGGCAGGAGGGGGGGGAAGGGGAGGGAGGGGGGGGGAGATGGAGGAGATGGAGGACGAGGAGGTCAAGAGTAAATCCAAGACGCGTCTTCAATAACCCCCCCGTTCCAAGTTGCCTCCTCATAAGTCCTGGCACGCCTTCCTTCTGAGAACAAGGAGTGCCCCCTTGAACGGCTCGTGCCGTGTGGGCCTGCCATGAAGGCGAGCCCCGTTGTGAAGCCGTGCTGGTGGCTGCAAGCGGGTGCACTCGTCCAGTTCAGCGGGGTGTCCAAGACCCCCGCTCTGGAGGAGGCCCGCCCCTGTGTGTGCAACTGTTACACAGGTTGGCATTGCCTGGCCCGGATGTTCCATGTTGGAAAGCCCCTCCTCCTCCCCGTCCTCCTCCTCCTCGTCCTCCTCCACCTCCTCCTCCTCGAGGAGGAGCCCGGATTTCCTGGTTGGGGCTATCACGCGAGAGCCCCATGCTGGAAAGCGACCGCCCTCCCTCCGTGCAGCTGCACGCGTGCTCACGAGTCTGCCCGGCCCCGCGGCGGCGACGACTCCGCGCCGCGCGCCCCGGGGAGCGACCCGCTCCCCTGTGCGGCCGTGGCCTGCTCCTCCTCCGCTGCGGCCGTCGCTCCGAGGCCCGAACACCATCACTTCACTAATTTTGGGCCCCAGGGCCCACTGAGGCTCCAGGGGCCCCAGATTAGTGAAGTGATGTTGTTTCCCACGTAAGGACCCCGAAATTCATCACTTCACTAAACCGAACCCAGGACGAAAGTCAGGGGTCGAATTGCTGCTGTGAAGCAACATAGGTCTCGTAGTCGCTTCGTTGTCTCCTCCCCCCCCCGCCTGCATCGTGGCACGATTCGCTTCACGGCAGCCCCGTTTTCCTGCCTCGCCAGCGCAGTGCTTCTGCCTAGCCGCCGACGGAACACGTGTTCACGATTCGGATCACTCGTTGCGGAGAGGTCTCCAGCGAGGGTTCCATGTTGGAGCGGATCAGTCTTCCGTTCTTCAGGGGAGGGAAAGGTACCCATACCGCTACCCTTCTCTCGTGTTCGCTGTTTGGGGCATCCAGGAAGGCCCTCGTCGCCATCGCTGGATTCGCTTCGACACTCTGGTCAAATGCTCCCCGGGAGAGGTCTGGGGAGTAGTGGTATGGTTATTTGTTGGTCCCCCCAATGTTTGTGAGTATTCCGATCTTTTCAGACGGATGCGTGAAGCGCCAGGGCAAGAAGTTTTGGATGTCACTTGTGTTCCGTCTTTGAAGTGGTTGAAGTTTTGAAAGGCGATCGCCAGTGTGGAATCCACGCGCGCTCCATCCTTGAAGCGCTTGCAGACTTGGACGACGATCGCACGTGGCTTTACGGCGAGAGCACCATTTTGGAAGCCACTTCTATTCATTCGTTGCATCTGGTGCGACGTTCAAGCTTTGGGGTCACAAGTGGTGAGATAGTTTCGGTCGAGACACGGCCCGCCCTGCCGGCACGTCTGGAGGTGCGACAGGGGGGAAGTACGTGGAATGGGATGCGGGATGTGGGGGATCACCGAGCGCGTTCCGTTACTTGCAAAGTGCCTGCTCGCAAGCGCCAGAAAAGACACATGTCTGCTTGGGTGTTATTCATCCAAGACACCCCGCGAGGAATCCAGGCCATTTGCGAGCAGCTACTTTGCGGGTAGCGGAACGCGCTCGTCGAGAGGCGGAGGGGGAGGGGCAGGGGGCGGAGATGGCGGGGGAGAGGACGGGGGAGAGGACGGGGAAAGTAGGCAGGGCGGGGCTGTGAGCGAGGCGGGGTGGGGCCCTTCCCCCGGGGAAGGACGGCAAGGAGGACAAGGGCAGCACGCCCGCCGAGCAGGCAGAGGGCGAGGCCGCTCACCGCACGTCGGTCCCTTCAAGGGGAGGGTCTGGGCTTCACGGTTCGCTTTTTGATGTTCCACCTTAGTTTTGCCTTGATCACCACAGAGACTTCCGAGCACCAAGAAAGTACCGAAGTTGGAAGGTTTCCACGTGTCGGGCCTTGGGAAGCGATACTCGTTGGACACTGTTTCAACACTATCCGGGGTGCTCGAATTTTTTGTTGTGGGATGTGGTCCTGAAGTGTGATGGGAGCAACAAAAGGCTTGCTTGTAATATCCAGTTTCAAGTGGCATGGTTATCCTGTCTCGAGCGATGCCCATCCAAGAGCGCGAGGCGGGATGCGGCCCGGCGGCCGCGGCAGGCAGGGCGCGCGAGTCGGGTCGGGAGCCTTGTGCTTCAAGTCTGGCGGCCCCAAATTGTCGTGTGAGGAACAAAGTCGGATTCGGGCCCGCGGATCACACCCCACCCGCCTGATAAACAGCTTCCCCGGCCACCCCGTCGCTGCGGCTGGCTTAAAGGAGGAGGAGGAGGAAGAGGAGGAGGAGGAGGAGAAGGAGGCGGAGGAGGAGGAGGAGGAGGAGGAGGCGGAGGAGGAGGAGGAGGAGGCGGAGGAGGAGGAGGAGGAGGAGTAGCCAGGGCCAAACAAACATCAGAGGATGTGGTGAACGCAGGCGGTTGTCGGGCGGGCGACCGCCCGGTGGTCCCCAGGCGACCGCCTGGTGGTCGACCGCCCGGTGGTCACAAGCGGCCCCCTGGAAATCCCCTGCAGGAGGGAACACCTCACAGGTGACAGTTGAGGCCGTGAGGTGGCGACTATTCCTGCAGGCGCAGATCACCGAAACCACAGTGATTATTCAGAGACCCGTTGCACTCAGGCTTGCATGCTCCACGCGTCTCGTTGATTTGAAGAACACAGCGGTACGCGTAGCGCCAGGCTCGCGCGTGATCCATGGAGCACCCCGGACAAATAAGGCCGATGCACGGATAGCCTCGCGCAGCGAAGGTCAAGACAGCGAGCGAGGTCGGGCTTGTGCAGCGCTTGCCAGGCAGGCGATCCAATTGTGACGCCTGGGTTGGCGGCACACTTGGCACTGCCAGCACTAGTGCCAATCATGGTCAACATCCTCGCCCGCACACGCGCGAGCATTTTGGGATGGGGTGTGCGGGAGGGTTTGGGGTGTGAAGCAGGTCCTCGCGTACCTGTAGGGCCTGGTCTAGGATTCTTGCCTGGCCGACAGGCTGAGCAAATAGCTTTATAGCGTGATTGCACCCACTATGCCACTGCGAGGGGCGGGCCAGAAACTCAGGTGCGGCCACACGTGCCCCATACTCAACTGCTCGCGAGGTTTGAAGGAATGCCGCCCCCAGTCGTATCCGAAGTTCGGCCGACGGTGATTAAACCAGCTACGCCCCAGCCAGCCTTGCTTTACTCGGGTACGTCGGCATTGTGTTAATGGTGATGGTGACGATGATGTTCGAGTGGGACTTGATGGAAGAGGGGGAGGAGCAGAAATATGACGACACGGATGGGGGGTCGAATGGAGAGGGAGATCGGGCAGCGGACCCGCAGGGGGATCGATCGAGGTGGAGGGATTGTCGTACGCGTGTTTTGCTTCTCATCTTTGTCCTCTCGTTCCGTCTCGGTCTTCCTCCTCCATCGTTCTCCCTCTTCCATCGTTCACCTCCTTTTCCTCCCCGTCCTCCTCTCCGTCCTCCTCATCTTTCCCCTCCTCCTCTGCTTCTTCCTCCTCTTCCTCCTCCTCCTCGTCCTCCTCCTCGTCCTCCTCCTCCTCCTCCCCCTCCCCCTCCCCCTCCTACAGTCCCCTCATAATGATAATAATCCCCCACTCCTGTCCTCTTGATCATCCTCCTCTTACTGTCTACATCATCTTCTCACTCCACCTCCTTTGCAGTCTACCCTTGTCCTCCTCTCGTCGTCCTCATACTTTTCATTATCATCCTTGCTCCTCCTCCTCCTCATCATCATCATCATCATCATCATCATTATCATCATCATCATCATTATCCGTAGCCATTTTGGCTCAAAATGGCGCGATCAGGGCAGATGTCTGGTCTCATGAGGCTGGCTCTAGCCGTCGCGTCCATTCTTGGGTCAGTTTCCCAATCCTCCAAGCTTTCAGCGAGGCCTTTGCGGCCACAGTTCTTTCCATATCACCATACCGACACCCAGCCCCAGTCGCCCGATTGGGAGCCCAGCCTCGGCGGGCTCGACCAATGGCAGGACGTGGAGGTGGTGCTCGAGGTGCCGCGCGCGGTGGCGGCGGCAAAGCCAGCAGCGGTCGTGGACAGCGGGGCGGTCAAGCTCCAGGCGCGGGTGGCAGCGGTGCAGCGCCCAGGGTCTGGGATTGCCCTCAGTGCGGAGCCAAGAAGAATTGGGGCTCTCGGCACGTCTGCAGGAGTTGCGGCTACGATTGGTGGGAAAGCGGTTCTGGTGCGAGTTCTTGGTGGAGTGGCATGTCACAACTGGACGCCAGAGAACGCCACGAGCTCAACCAGTTGCGCAGGAAGGTCAAAAAGTTGGAGACCAGCAGTCAAGCAGGACCAGGAGTCGATGGCGGTGGCGCTGGGGCGGCAGGCGTCGGGTCGCAGCCCGACGACAAGCCAGAACGTGTCCGCCGATTGGGCAAGCTACGAAGTGAGATCAAGAAGATCGAGGGCGTGGACGGCACTGAGGCCATTCTCGAATCCAAGCGGCAGGAGGCGCAGCAGTTGGAGAGCGAGCTGGCAGCAACCAAGCCCACGTCAGTCCAGCTCAGTGAGCTGGAGCGCAAGCAGAAGAACCAGGAGGCCACCACGGCGGCCTTGGCGAGCAGGATCTCGGCGGCGGACAAGCAGCTCGCCGAACTACAGGCCCACAAGCTCGAGCTGGAGGGCAAACATGCGCAGAGTCAGGCCAGCGAGAAGGAGCTCCAGGCGCTCATCGACAACCTCCTGGCGCAACAGCTCCGCGAGCGTGAAGCACAGCAGCGGGAGGAAGGGCCGCGAGGGACGGTTGCCCCAGCGTCCCCAGGCGCCCAACTCAGCGAGGGGGAGCGAGCCACCGCTTTCCTCGCCGCTCTTAATCAGTGCTCAGGCATGCTCGCCCCTGGCTTCGCCGAGCAATGGGACGGCCAAGTCGCAGAGATGCGGCGTCTGGCACAGCGCGTTGCCACAGCAGGCGCCGCGGCGGAGCGCGACGGGAGCGGCGACGAGCAGGAGATCGACGAGAAGGACGTCGACGTCATCCTGGACTCCCTGGAGGAAGAGGCCACCGAGGAGGGGGCAGCAGAGGCCGCGGCGGGCGAGGTGGGCAACGGCGAGGCAGCAGGCGACGCCGCAGCCAAGGCCGCCGCAGCCGCCGCCATGCGCAAGCTTCGTGCCCAGAAGCTCCTCCAAGGCCTCCGCTGCGCGGGGATCCGCAGAAGGGGGAAGCGGGGGTAGCCGCCCTCACTTCACCATCGTCAGCCTCAACGGCAGCGGATGGGGCCCTTTCACCACCATCCTCGGCGAGCAGCAGGACCCACAACAGCAGGCGGTGGCGGAGGCTCACCTCGGCGACGCACTGTGCATTCAGGAGCACCACCTCAACGGCTACCGCGCCGTGGAGCAGGAGCAGTGGTGTCGACAGGTTGGCTGGAGCGCCGTGCTGACCCCAGGGGTGAGCCCGGTCGGCGCAGGCCTCCAGCGCGCCGTCAGCAGTGGCACTGGCGTGGCCGTGCGCACCTCGCGCGGCATGTGCGGGCCAGGCGCTGGCGGCAGCAAGGACAGCTGCCACGCGGCTGGGGGCCGCGCGACCATCGTGCACATCAACGGCGTCGTGCCTGGAGGCTTCCTGCTGGGCTCGGTCTACCTGGACAACGACGACGTGGGCGAGCACAGCCAGAGCGTCTTGCAGCAGGTCGGAGCCACGCTGAAGTGCACTGGCAAGCCCTGGGTCCTGGCGGGGGACTGGAACGTCGAGCCTGACAGGTTCCACCTCCGCGCGGGGCATTGGCTGCGCAAGCTGGGCGGCCACGTCAAGGGCACCTGCCAGCACTCCCCCGTCAAGGAGCCATCTGAGCTCGATTGGTTCATCGTCAGCGTGGATATGCTGGACCTCGTCAGCGGGTGCGAGCGCCTCAATATGACGGAGCAGGGCTACGCCAACCCGTGCAGGCCCCACATCGGGGTCAAGCTCTCCTTGGCTTGTCAGGGCGACCTTGGATATGGGCCTATGCCAGCCAAGGAGTGGAACCACGACGAGTTGCGGGACGCGATCGGCGTGGGGGAGGATATGCAGGCCATGACGGAGGTCTACCGCGCCCTGTGCGAGGGAGTGGGGGACGAGCTCGTCTGGATCTACCAGATCCCGCCCGACGGCGCCAGTTTGTACCGTGGCCGTGGGGGCCCGCCGAGCTTCAGCTTCGGCACGCAGGCCAGGGCGCGCCCCATCAAAGGGCCCAAGGCCAGCTACAAGGGCAAGAAGCTCATGCATCTGAGCGACTATTTCACGCAGCTCCATCAGCTCGTCGGCGGAGGCTCGGACGCCGTTTCTTCGGCAGGGCTCATCCAGTGCCAGCAGGGCGACGACGAGCGGGAGGCGGAGCGGATGGAGGCCAGGGCAATCAAGCGCTACAAGCGGGTGCTCGGGCGCCGTGCCCGCGGGTGGGTCCCTAACCCCAGCAACCCCGACCACTACGCGGACGAGAACGAGTGGATGGAACAGCGCGTGCCCTACATCTTTCGCATGCTGGGGCTGCCGACGCACTTTGCGACGGGCACGGCCCAGAACTTCGAGCGTCGCATGCAGACGGCCAGGGACGTATGCGAGTCTGCCTGGCGTCGCGGCGGCACAGGCAGGCTGGAGCTGGTGCGCATTCTTCAGCAGCTCGGCCTTCTCGACCGCGGCTGCTGGGAGGAAGAGCTGCGCAGGGCGGCGGATAGCTACCACGAGTCCAGGCGCTGGCTGGAGGAGCGGGGCGACTACAGCAGGCCCCTCCCAGGCGCGCCCATCGCCTACGGCTATACCGA